ATGATAGGGAGTTTTGTTCATCGTATTTTGGAGTGGCAGAGATGGCGGGCCATTAAAGGAGGTTTCAGACCACATTTTGATATTTTCAACTTATTACCAAGGAACAAGAAAAAGGATTATTGTGTTATTTGTTTAAACTACCACAGTTAATATACACAGACCACTTGCCAAGCAACGTCCAATAAGCATATATAGTCCCACACCTATATACATTTTTCTTCGAGCATCTGGTGTTTGTCTGAGGACAGGGTCATTTCAGTTTCTGTGGAATTTACACCCTGAACCAGCCTGTTCTTACAGCATTTTGACTAGACTACCCTGGCACCTGAGGTATAGGTTGTGTAATTAAACCACCACAGATGCCCAACTCCGAATTGAAGTATATATCATGTTATAGAAATACCATGTGAGACCATGTGATGCCATGGTGATGCCTTGCATGTGTCAAACTACTATAGGCACTGAATGAAGTTGAGAAAGGCAGGGCAAAACAAACAATAAGTAACTACACCCGGACAGCTCTTCTGCCTTTCACGTGCATGCTTCAGTTGTTGAGCGCTCGCACTAGACTGCAGAGTGCCGTGGGTTCGAATCCCACCCAGGGCAGCTCTTCTTCTTTTCTTTGAAAAGAAAGAGCTGTCCTGGGTTTGTAGTTTTGACTTAATGTTTTTTCCTTGCCTTGCCTTTCTACCTCGCTTACCAAGTTGTGAGACATGCCAACATGCAGAGGCAAACCACCACACTCCACTAACAGTTGAAGGTCTGGATAGGTGTATTTGGAGGAACAGGTTGTATTCCTCTCGATACTGCTGGGGTTGTATATAGCGATCAAAGACGACAGAGGATGTGGAGGGCCACTTCTTGCACTTCCACCACTCCAAATTAGCCCTGTCTTCCTCCTCTCCCTCCATCGCCTCCTGCAGAGTGGGAGGAGAGATACATATTTTTTATCAAGTCATATTTTTTTGTGTTGTATAAATGTTCTATCCTAACAGTGACGGACCTCGAGTTTACTTCCGACAAAAGCTGGCTCTTTATCTTTCCCTCCTTACTCGAATACAAGATTTTCACTATTTAATACAACACCTGATTCTACTCCAAAATCTGGTTCTTTTTCTTTACCTCCTCATCCAAAAATATCTGTCACTACCGACAAAATTGGTTCTTTCTCCTTCTCTCCTCCCCCAAAACTTCTCCACAACCACAATGTATGTGTATATGTATGTACATGTCTTAACAACGAGGTAGAAAGGCAAGGCAAGGTAAACAAGTCAACTACACCAAGGACAGCTTTTTCTTTTCAAAGATAAGAAGAAGAGTTGCCCTGGGTGGGGTTTGAACCCACGACACTCTTTGCAGTCTAAGGGGACGATGCTTCTACCAATGAGCTACAAGGGCAACTTTAAGCTGGTAAGGGTTCAAATCTACCAACACAACCACAAACACAAGGCAAACCTAACACTGTGCTATGGCACAGTATGGTAACATATGTACATTCATACTAACCTATCCCCAGAAAGTTTCCGTTAAAGATCCTCTTGCTGGACGATGAAATGGTAGCCTATGTTCAAATCTACAACAAAGGCACACTAAAACCACTGTGCTATGGAAACAGTATACTCTCACTCAGTATGTACAGAACGCGCATGTGCGGTATCACTAATGATGGGCTGGGCTTTTTATTGCCTTTTCTCGGGTGGTATCCCCGCTAGTGGCTCGCCGAGAGTCTGCACGGGCTAGCTACAGTAGTAAATAGCATGCGGGAAGTCGATACATGCCCTTCAGGCACCGACAGACATGTAAATGAAGCTAGGTACATGTACTGGAGTTGTACCATCCTTTGTTGATATCCCTAGGCAAAAACGACCAGACATGTATGAAGCTAGGTACATGTCTGGGAGATTGTACCATCTTTTGTTGATATCCTAGCAACCGACAGACATGTATGAAGCTAGGTACATGTACTGGGAGATTGTACCATCTTTTGTTGGATATCCCTAGGCAACCGACAGACATGTATGAAGCTAGGTACATGTACTGGGGGATTGTACCATCCTTTGTTGGATATCCCTAGGCAACCGACAGACATGTATGAGCTAGGAAGTACTGGAGGATTTAATCGCCTTATACAATATATATACCATGTGCAAGTAGGGTTCATACAATGTCAGCATAAACCTCCTAGGGATATCCAACAAATCTGTTGCAGTACCCAGACAGGACAGCATTCGCCCTGTGATGTCTTGTCTGGGCACTGCAACATATATACATAATTATGTTGTCATATATATGTACTAACACTCCATATCAGATCGTGTATTATGTCCAGCCCTCTGTATGTATATTTGTACTCTGTGAGCCCCTTCTCGCTCGATTCTATCAATCTTCTCCCTTCTTTTTATGAAGTGAAGCGTGCACTGTCATCTTTTACCTGTACTTCTTGGAGAGTTGGTAGAGAGAGAGAAGAGAGCCGAGCCAGGTGTCCTGGAGGTCAGAGGTCAAGTAGGAGTGTATTTGCGCGACCAGGTCACTCCATCTCTCGGGGAAGTCGTGTTTAACAATGTGCTCCAGACACTGGCAGAGCTGACGACTGCAGCCAAAAAAGTAGAGAAGAATTCGTTACAATCAGTTACATAACACTTCACCAGCCACGGAAACATACTGCGAATGTGTCCAGAGTTTCCATAAGTCCATAAGAATTTATAGCTGTTTTCATACTAAGCGCAAATACTTTATACATGATTTTGTTACTATTGTTAACCTACCAGACGAACACGGGTGATTTGATGATGGCCCCTACAATGTTCTCCCTAATGAAGGCTTTGGCCACATCAGGAATGGAGTATGGCGCCTCTTCTCCTTCAGCCACCGGCTCCTCATTCTTCCAGTACCGGAATATGCAGTTCTTTAGATACACTGCTCCTGGATGAGGGAGGGGGAGGGAGGGAGGGAGGGAAGAGAGGTAGGGAGGAGGGAGGGAGGGAGAGGGAGGAGGGAGAGAGGTTGGGAGGGCGAGGGAGGGAGGGAGGGAAAGATAAGGGATAAAGTGTAGGAAGAAGAGGGAAAAGAAGGGGCAACTAACAGAATAAAGAGGACAAAGTATGGAGTGAGTATAACCAGCATTAATGGGAATGTGGCATAAGGGCTGACGTTACACTACACAATAGGGCCCAGTAAAGGCATGCAACTGTTTCTAAACTAAGCCACATTATAACTGCCGCATTATGCATCAGGTTGTGAAGCGCTTGCAAGCCCTTTCCCTCGTTCTTTTCTTTCTGCATGTGAGTGTGTGAGCTGGTAAGTTGATTACATTACACACACTCACATGCATGGAGAGTGTAGCGAACCCATTTAATATGTATGTACGTATGTGCGTGATATGGCTAGTATAAAATTGATGAGTTTCGATCCATGCCCAAAAAATCATACACATTTAGCAATCTATAAAACACTCGAAAAACGAGAAGAAAGAAAGGGCGTTGTGTGTGCTGGATGAGGACAGGGGAGGAACGATGTCCTCTGAGTCCACGGCAATAATCACACACATTTAGCGATTATAGCTAAAACGCTCGAAAAGGAGAAGCAAGAAACTGAGTCGTATGGTGTTATGGGAGAAGGCTGTTGGATAGCCGTACCTGCTGGCCTGGGTGACTGTCAGGGACGGAGACCGGCCACCACAAGTCTGGAGAAGACACGGAGGAAGTTGGCCTCCTCGGTGGACTGTAGGGAGACAACGCACAAACATCGGACGGCAGCTGGTTGAGCAATTAATAATTATGCCGCCAATATTATCAGTGAACCATACTAATTACTTGAACCACTAACGAACTAGGCTTGTCGACACTGATATAACGTACCGTAGCTGCGAGTTTCAGACGAATCTCATTACCCTATAACACCCCTGACCGTGGAACTAAAACAAAACATAACATGGGAGTTCGCAGTACGCCTATTTGTAGTAAGTGGGCAAATAGTATATATGTACAGGGGGCTATATGCTCAAAGGGAGCAGCCTATACCCAGATTTCATACTGCATATATATACATAAGTTAGTGCTGACTCAACAGGCTCACATTCAGACACCACAACATTACATCTATGATGCTAGGTATATACGACCCTGCCCCGCCTATACTACCGTACTAGTGATACGCGAATATGGCAACGCACATGCATCCGTATAAAGCTCGACGACAGTGACGTGACGACCATGAATGCCCTCAAAATGTATGACATCCACTTGCCGGCCATGGCCTATACGTGGTGTGTGTGTGTTGTTAATCTCCACCCACTCTCATGTATGATCAAAATAGGGCCGATCATTTCAGTGTCAGACCCACATCAGCAATAACTAGCCTATACAAACTTAACCGTGTAGACTCAACTGCGTACGTCCTGAAGCTCAAAACCTGCATAGAGAACAAGCCACTCTGCGCACTGACCTCTTCAGGAACGTTCTGCCTGCTTGCGTAGCTCCGCGTCCAGAGTGTTGGCAGTCCCTGGATCGCGTATGTACTGTCATGTACTCCAAACAACCAGCCGCCCGTCGTAGAGAGATCTTGCTGGTAGGGAGAAACCGGCTGGGCACTCACACACGTTGGTGCTACACAGATCGAGAATTTGCTGATTCGGCGGACGCGGGGGTAGTTCGCGCATGCGCTTTCTGGACGACGACGCGCCTATATTCTCCCTTCGTCGTCTAGCCGGAAAAAGTCTATGAGACTGGAGTCCGTCGGCAGCGCGTGAGTTCCGTCTGTGTGGAGACGTACGTGTATATTTTTGGCGGGCGAGCGAATGCGAGTCTGGGAGAACACGCGCGTGCGTCCTCTCCTAGCGAGCACTCCGCGATGATTTATGCGCATGCGTGCGAAAGGTAAATCCCCGCCACACCTTTACACTATACCAATGGCAAAATTTTGGACTAGCAGGGTGCTGTTCTTGTGGCTTGTTGCATTTGCCTTCGCAGTGACGATTGTAATCATCTCCACTGTTCTCGGCTCCTCCGGCCGCTCTACACCCGGTCACCACGCTGGCCTCTCCCTCTCCGTTTACCCTAACAGGTCGTCAGGGGGCGACCGTGATAAAAGTCCCGTTTTTCGTTCCAGAAAGAAACCTAGAAAGCTCTATGCGAGCTACTACCCTGCTGTGAAGGTCACGCCGAGTGTGATAGAGATAACAAATACACCACAGCGAACCAGTGGCAGAGGACGAAGATAATAAAACTACACGTGTCCATTTCTCCAACGGAACATTTTTACATCCCACCTCGGCGCAGATACACGAATCAAGCAAAGGCGCTATCGTGGTACCTACCCCAGCATCGTCTCCTCAACCAAGTCGGAGCTCAGCACCAGGGGAAGCGACAGCTTACGTCCTCTCGTTGGATATTGTGCACAGATTCCGGAGCCCCTGCCACGGATACACTGACCTAGCCACACTCGAGGCCCTTCTCAACTTGTCCACAGTGGAGCCGTACGTCGTCGACACGTATCTGGTGGCGTCCCGCATGTTCAACAGAGAAGCGTAATAAAACTGAGCGACCTATATACGACGTTGACACGCTAAGAGCACGCTGAGATGTGCTCCGAAAACAATAACCACGAAATGTTCCACTTTCGAGACTTTTTGGAGCGAGCATCGCGAGAAAGTCAATTTGTGTACGTGTCACTACCTTGAGCATAGGTTCCAGGTTAATGGCCTTATTGCCCATATCAAGGCCAAAACGTCTTTGAATTGGAGAAAAAGAGGGAATGTTACCCAGGAGGCCTTGGAACCTAACTGAAAAGCTAAACAGATGGGCTGTCCCTGTCTCGCCTCAAATTTCATCTGGGTCCATGTCAGCCGTGCTTTGTGATTGACGCACGGCCAAAGAAATCTCCATCTCTCTGAGATTTTGGATGTATTGGGTTCGGCCATTCGCTGGAAAGTTGCCAGGCTTGGTTCTGCAACCGTGCTCCTTCACAGTTGGGTGGGTGTTCACAGAGAACCAGACAGTACCACATTTTACTACATTCCTGAGTTCGTTTATAGACCTTGCCGCTCAATCTACAAAGTCAACCACAGTCAGAGTGTAATAGATGCTGCAAATACATTTGCTCTTAGTATGGAGGACGATCACACAAAGACTAGAATTGGGGTTCATATTCGCGGAGAGAGACTTTTGAACCTACACCAGCAGAGTTTTGTGATATGTTTAAACAAACTGAAGAACCTTATAAATAGTACTTACAATGATTCGCAAGTCCGTTTGATTCATGACTTGGGCAAATATGGCACAAGGACGTGCTTTGGATTATGCGAACTTTTACGATATTTCTTTGCCTCAAAAATGTCTGAACTACATTGGCCGTCAGTGCACTTTTATCCAGATGTATATACCCACATTCCACACAACCCTGCATTTGTAGCAGCTGTGGAACAAGAGTATCTCTCGCGGATGGACGTACTGGTGACCATTGGTTCGGGTGGGTTTCAGAGCAGCACCATTGCAAAATTCATGCAGCATGCAGACAGGAACAGGAACCACCTCTACAAGATATGCAGCAACAAGTTTGATGACTCTAAGGACTTGATTCAAGTTTTTTAGCAATTGCATCATCCCTGTTCTTATGATAATCGACGTCTTATGATGGCTTTCAAGTTACCGGCTACAATTATGGCGTGCCAAATGACTCATACCTCCGCTAAACGTTAAGAGCACGACCGTTCCAATCCGAGTAGGTGAAAGAGCTATCCGTCAGCTGTTTACGAAGCGCAGAAGCTATAGCTCCTTCACTGCTCTCACTTACGTGCCCGGTTTAGTTATCGTACAGCGCGATTGCTGCGTCTCTAGAACGAATCTGAGGTCAAAGGTGAGAACATTGTGCGCATGCGCCATCCAGCCATGCGCGCGGCGGTATAAAAACTCACACTGACATGACAGAGCTAGAGATGCGTCAGTCTGCGCTTTTTTATATCATAACACTAGAAAAAACATTAGGCATAGTTTTAGGTAATGTACACAGGTCCGTTAACTCTGACGTTGTCGCGCTCACACCTGATCGATCGACACCCCACACGTACGTGTAAGCGACGGCGCGCGCGCAGTACGTTTTAAAATTTTACGTACATACGCAAAATTAGCCAACGTTTTGGGGTCTTGAATCGTCCCGTCAGCTTTTTCAAAGGTTGGCCATACTCCCTATGGAGAGGGAATGCCACCGGCTGGATCCATAGATGCCAGCCACCTGCCCCTTTCCTAGTGGTGTGTGGTCTGAATCTCGGAGGTGTTGGTGTGTGTTATCTTGTGTTTTTTTGGGTTTTGGTTTTTGGGATCCTTTTTTTTGTTTTGTTTTTGTTTTTTTGTTGTCCTGTGTTCACATCATTGTGTAATTTGGCATTCCACTCTAAAAAAAAATAAATAAAATATACCTAACGTTGTGCGTAAAGTGCGCGTAAGATTATTTCGGGACGCGCCTCTACGTCCTGAGCATGTTCGTGGAGAGAGACTTCTTGCTCTACACAAAAAGAGATACATACTCTGTTTAAGTAAAGTGATGGACGTCATATACAGTTCTTACAGGAATTCGTCTAGTTACCAAGTCCGTTTGATACATGACTTGGGAGAATACGGCACAAAAACATGTTACCAGTCTGACTGCAATGTTCTACGGAAAAGATTCCTGTTTACAGTTTGTCAGCTAGGCTTTCCTTGCGTGCATTTTTATCCGAGTCAGTATCCCAGTGTCGCTCCAAGTCCTGCATTTGTAGCAGCTGTGGAACAAGAGTATCTCTCGCGGATGGACGTACTGGTGACCGTTGGTTCAGGTGGGTTTCAGACCAGCACCATTGCAAAATTCATGCAGCATGTAGACAGGAACAGAAACCACCTCTACAAGATATGCAGCAACAAGTCTGATGACTCTAAGAACTTGAAAAAAGTTTTTTAATGTCCATCATCATGGTTATATAATAGTCCGTTTTCATATTATTGTTTTGTTCTAGCATTTTATTACTCCTAAAACAATTTTGGATTTTTCGAGGTCCCGCTGCTATTAAAAGAGTTTTAACACTTAAACAGCCGTGGACACATAAATGTGTCCAGAGCCTCCATAAGTCCATAAGAATTTATATTGAGGTTATACTACTAGGTGCTAATACTTTATACATCAATTTCTGCCTATTTAAGCAGATACCCATGGCGTCCAACCAACGGGTTTTAAAGAGTCTCCTGAGATCCTCCCAGTCATAGAGATCACTCAGTCTCATGGTTCCTGGGGCACGGCCCTCACTCAATCGCGGCACTCCAACCAGTCTACTACCTTGTACATAAGGCTCCACAGTGGAGAGGTTGAAGATGGCTGCCAGTGTGGCTAGTTGTGTGAATCCCTTCAGCTTTTAAGACATGCTCCACCAGAGACCAGTTTTGTGACATTTATAGAGAATGCCTCCCTTGAGGCTAACTCCAAGAGGTGTGTTTAGGTTCTCTATGTCACAGTGTCTGGAAAATTGGCTGAGGATAATAATATTTTTTTAAGGGTCGAGAACCAGAGTGGTAGCTATATCCCAAAATTAAGTATGGCAAAATGCCTAAAGCAAAATGGTGGGAAATATGGGTATACTTAAAAAAAAAGTGACATATATGGGATTTTGCAAACGATTGTCTCCTTCCAAAACGCATTTTAATTGTAACTTCATGTCAAGGGGGTATAAATGGTCCTTTGTGTGTTACACCATTATGGTTCTCAGCCCTTCGTTTAAAGTATGAAGGTGATGGCGAGTTACATATCCGGTGCAGGTTTTCACCCTTTCCTCCACGTTGGAGCATAAACCTCTGTACTATTGCGTTCTGAAACCCTCCCCAGCCAACAGTCAAAAGTACATCCACTTTCGACAGATACTCCCCTTCAACAAGCGCAGCATAACCAGAGCTGATTGGAACCGAAGAGAACTCTGATGGATTAAACGACGCGATAGGGTAGCCAAGCTTCTTGACTTGGGACAAGAAACTGTTTCGTCGGAGTGAGCAAATACTTGTGCAACTACTTGTGCCGTATTCACCCAAGTCGTGCACAATTCGAATTCTTACTTCCGGGGGATAACTTTCAAGATGAGACTCCAACTCTTCAAGACAGTCTGAGATGCTTCCTTTGTAATCTCTCAACAGTCGTTCGCCACGGATATGGACACCCACCATGATACCAGTGTCACTGTCATTCAAACTCTGCGAAAACAGCAGCGATGAATATATTACTCTTTCGCTACGTTTGATGACGTTAATATTCTGACAAGGTCTCCAAAAGAACCCAGGGACATAGTAGAATATCGGTGATAGAGGAGCTCTGAATGAAATTGCCCTCCATTCGCCAAACAGAACCGTGGCAGATTTTGATTGTGAAACCTGTTTGTCGATGAAAGAGCCTAAATCCTTCACAATTACAGACAGTGGTAAGACGTGCATTGGCCGTGCATCCACCAGAATAATTCGCGCTGTTCTGAACAGTGTGCCGACCTGGTTGAAGACCTTTGTAGCCCATTCATTGAGCAATTGTACTCCTGAAAGCAGAGACTCATCATGACCAACTTCAATGATCTTTTCATTCCTACCAGCGAAAAAAAAACTATAATCTGCTGCGGTTGTGACCATGTGCACCAGTATGACCTCGCGAGAAGCGTTCTCTAAAAACGTCTCGAAACTCGACAGCTGATGGTCGTCTCTGGTGGAGCATGTCTTAAAGAGTCTCCTGAGATCCTCCCTGTCATAAAGATCACTCAGTCTCATGGTTCCTGGGGCACGGCCCTCACTCAATCGCGGCACTCCAACCAGTCTACTACCTTGTACATAAGGCTCCACAGTGGAGAGGTTGAAGATGGCTGCCAGTGTGGCTAGTTGTGTGAATCCTTTCAGACCTCCCGTCAACTGCTGATCCACACTCAATGACAGCAGAAAGCCACGTAACGAAGCCTGGCGAGGGACTGGATGAGGAGGGAAACTTCCTATTACCTCTGCCCTTGTAGGTGTCCTCATAGCGCCATTTTCAGGTCTCTTCACATTGTCGTAATCCTGATTAATGCTAATAAACTGTTCGGTGTCATTAGCCAAGAATCTTATGATCACCAAGACTGAAGTGTCAACGGAAAAGTGGCTGAGATTTACTGTCTCAAGTACTATCATAGAGGAAACTAGAAATATGATAATCAGAAGCGCGTAACGTCTGCCGATTATTGTCTTCCTGTAGTTCCCCATGTCGCATCGATCATGGGCCTCTTCGCAACTTTTGAAGGTCGTGATTCGTGATTGCACGCAGCGCGCGCGGTGCTGAGCGCGGCGGCGCAAAAATAGACAATGAGACGGTCCGCGCGCGCCCAAGGATGGCATGCAACAGTGTGTCACAGTGCGGTCGATTATCATAAGAACAGGGATGATGCAATTGCTAAAAAACTTGAATCAAGTCCTTAGAGTCATTAGCCTTGTGGCTGCATATCTTGTAGAGGTGGTTCCTGTTCCTGTCTGCATGCTGCATGAATTTTGCAATGGTGCTGCTCTGAAACCCACCCGAACCAACGGTCACCAGTACGTCCATCCGCGAGAGATACTCTTGTTCCACAGCTGCTACAAATGCAGGGTTGTGTGGAATGTGGGTATATACATCTGGATAAAAGTGCACTGACGGCCAATCTAGTTCAGAAATTTTTGAGGCAAAGAAATATCGTAAAAGTTCGCATAATCCAAAGCACGTCCTTGTGCCATATTTGCTCAAGTCATGAATCAAACGGACTTGCGAATCATTGTAACTATTTATAAGGTCCTTCAGTTTGTTTAAACATATCACAAAACTCTCCTGGTGTAGGTTCAAAAGTCTCTCTCCGCGAATATGAACCCCAATTCTAGTCTTTGTATAATTGTCTCTCAAACTTTGAGCAAAAATTGTGCAGTGTTTACCACACTCTGACTGTGGTTGACCTTATAGATGGAGGAGCGGCAATGCCTTTGAACAAATTCGGGAATATAGTAGAAATTTGCACTGTCTGGTTTGTTGTGAATACCCTCCCAATTGTTAAGCAGCACAGTTGCAGAACCAAGCCTGGCAACATTCCGGCGAATGGCCGGACCCAATACATCCAATATCTCAGAGAGATGGAGAGCTTTCTTTGGCTGTGCATCAATCACAAATGCGTGGCTGACATGGAACCCAGATGAATTTGAGGGCGAGACATGGGCAGCCCATCTGTTTAGCCGTTCCAAGGCCTTCTGTGTAACATTACCTCTTTTATCAATCGCAATGATCGTTCGGTTACTAGTAAAACTAAATCTTTTCCCGATGTTGAGAGATGTTAACATGTACACGAATATGACTTCGCGTGAGGCTCGCTTCAAAAAAGTTTCAAAGTTAGACATTTGGTGGTCATTGCTCTCGGAGCACGTCTTTAGTACACTTTTTAGCATGTCAAAGTCGTAAATTTCACTAAGCTCCAATGCGGTTTGTCCTAGTTGTTGCTTAACATTTGGAACCCCTACCAGAGATGTACTAACGGTATATGGCTCCACTGTGGACAAGTTGAGAAGGGCACCAAGTGTGGCTAGGTCAGTGTATCCATGCAGGGCTCCGGAAATCTGTTGCGCAATATCCAACGAGAGAACATAGCTTCGTTCCCTGGCGCTGAGTTCTGGACTTGGTTTAGGAGACAATGCTGGAGGAGGCCTACTACTTGACCATTGAGTGTCTCTGCTCATGCGTGGCGTGGTTGGATGCGACAGTGTTGCGTTTATAGTTGAATTGAGAGGTGTAGTGGAACTTTTGTGCTCTGCCACTGGTTGCTGTAGAGGTGTAGCTGTTGGTAGCATCACACTTGGCGTCACCTTGTCAGCAGGATGGTAGTTACTAAACAGCTCTCCCGGTTTGTGATAAGTGGGGTCTTTATCCTTGTCCACCTTGAGGTAAAGGAAGAGGGAGAGGTCGCATCTTACGGCGGCAGAGTGGTCAATAGAACTGAATACAGTGGACATGAGTACAATCGTCCCTACGAAGCCAATAGCAACAAGCCACAAGAACGGCTTGCTGGCCGTCGCTTTGGCCATTGCTTCTAGACTTGGCCAACGTTGCAGTGGTGAGTTGGTTTATAGAGTGCGGCGAGCTCATATCATATCTACGACCACAGTCTGAATTCCTTGAGCGTTGTTGTGCTCTAAACCCTCGGCGCGCATGCGCAGCGAGGATTTCGGTACGTGTGTCCGTCTGTGCCACCACGCGCGAGAAAAGAGCGACAGTGTGGCTTGATTTTAAAGAAGGCGATTTTCATTAAGAACACTGCGTTCGAAAATTATGGCGTGAAAACTAAGTGAACAAGCCACTTTGACCGGGTCCGCGACTCCGCGTATCTTGAAGGGACAAGAAGTCCTTCTCCATCCTTAACTTTGCGCATAGTTGAAAGGTCACACGTTTGCGGGGAGGAGGGAGAATGCCAGGGATCGAGGTATATACTACCACGAGTAAACGCCAGTCCATCAATTAGCGGTACCACGCATGCGCAGTTCGTCGAGGGTCTGTACACTGACAATTGTGTTGTATGCTAACAGTAGTGAATAATCCCTCAGGAAACAGGTCTTAGCTCTGTCAGTAATATGATCCTCCTCCATTGAGGAGTGCACTGTGCAGTAGCTACACCTGTTGGGATACTACTACATTGAAGCTACACACACTCACCCAAATATCAGTGCACCTAAATAATGAATGCAGTATATTATCAGCACCCTTCCTACATGCACCTTCACATAGTATTCTGAACAAGGTGGTTACTATAATACAGGCTCCTCTTTTTTAAAAAAATCTGTTTTCCCCTGGGAAGCTCTCTACCTCTGCAGGTCTCTGAAGGCTGTCATTTTCTGTCTAAGGGGCCTGGTGTCTCCAACGTACAGGGGAGGGTGACTGTCAGGGGAAAGGACATCACTGTAATCAGATTATCTGGCGCCTTGGCAGGTGGGGCTCTGAAGTGTTTTCCCTAGCCCTTATCACTGACTTTTACACATCCTGTGCCCCTATCACCACTGCTGACATAGCTATTGTAAAGCATACTCCTAGCCAATTTGGGTTGCATTCCTCACTCATTTACCATCTTTATCTTCTAAGGTGCTGTCCACTTGTCAGACCTGGACCCTATGTACAAGCTTCTACTACACACCCACTACCCTCTTTGGCCTCCACCTTTTACTTCAGCTGGGTAGATGGACCTCTTCAGAAGAGTGAACTCTCCTGCACAACAAATCACATGCATTGTTGAATAATATTTTGTCTCGCATGCGCCTATATACGAGAGGCGCGCGCAAGTGCGCGGAAATTATTACGTCACCCGGCCTAGCTGAAGGGGGATGTAGGGATGGCGTAAATTATGAAAAAGGATGCCAACAAGAAGATGCTTTAGCCGACAACAAAAATCATACATCCATCCCTACATAATTATACGTGTGTGTGTCCGCCTGTCTCACCAGCGGTCCACGCGCAAGAAATCGGCCAAAAAGAGCGACAGCCGCGTATCTTGAAGGGACAAGAAGTCCTTCTCCATCCTTAACATTGCGCATAGTTGAAAGGTCACGCGTATGCGGGGAGGAGGGAGAAGGCCTGGGGTCCAGGTATATTATACTAGCGTTGAGACCACGAGTGAGCGCATATTTAGCGGTACCACGCATGCGCTGTTCGTCGAGGGTTTGCAGCGATCGCTCGATTTTCCCCGGGAGTCCTCGGGCATTATGGGCCCCAGTTTTGTCGTAGGAGATGCATATGGTGAAACTGTACACAAACGCAGAAGTTTTTTATTATGCATCTTTGAAAGATCTAAGCAGTTCATCCAGAATGTTTCCAGAGGATTGCATGATCTAGGTATTATGGTTAACCAACCCTCCCTAACAGAAGTGGTCAAGTGCGGTTAGTGGTACGGAGTAAATCCCTCGTACGCAGCATTTTAATTTTCATGGTTTCTGGGCTACAAGCATCCATAACCAGCAAAACATGCATATTAGGAGATGTTTGGGTTATGAATGAATGTTTGTTCGTGGTGTAGTGCACCTTTTTGCCCCCCCTTTTTTTTATCTTGACTGTGTCATCCCAACATCCACTCCACACATGCAGCACGGGAGGTCACTATAACTCTGATGCTGCTCCAATTAACCCTGGCCCACAGAATGTTTGACTGTGCGATGGTTATGATATGGACGTTCAGTTTGCAACTAGTTCAGTCTTGATTCAGACGGTGATGCGTCCAAAACAACGTGCTTCGCCCAGAAAATTACTATTCCTGCAAAATTTCATGACTTTAGCTATCTCTTTTAGTTTTTGAGTTATGCTGGTTGAACAGGAGGAAGAAGATGATGAACAAAACTCCCTATCATAGCCCCATACATTTATGATGCTAGGTATATACCATACGCATCCCTGTTTAATGAAGATGAACAAAACTTCCTATCATAGCCCCATACACCTATGATGCTAGGTGCCATGCCCATCCCACTTAGTGATAATATGTACTGAGATTGTTGTGTACCATTAATTAAAGCCTCAGCTAGACACTCACGCTATGTTGGGAGGCACTTTGTATGGAAAAACTTTCAAAAAAGGTGTAATTCCTGTGACGTTGAATTTGTTGCATAGACAGCCCTAGCCTTGTGCAGAACAGGGCTAGGGCTAAACTAAACTTTAGGGATGTCTGATCGGAAGTTTCCTGTAAAGGCTAAGCATTTACTGTTCTCTAAAGAGCATGTGAAAAGAGTACACTTCCACACAAATCTTCTTAAAATGCTTCTCTATTGAGCGGTGTATTATGCTATGGGATGAATTAACGAAAGCCTGAAACCTTTTGTTTGTGAATAGCACAATAACAGTAATCGTGCAACTGCTGATAATCCCTGCCTTGTGATGTAAAATATATCTTGAGAGTGTAAAATCCTGTGACAATAATGGATTGAGTAAATTTATCGCATACAGTCCTAGCCCTAAGTTGGCGGTTATACATTCAGGACTAAAGCTAGCTTGTCCTCAGGCCCTAAGCTATAGACTAGGACTGTCTGATGGTACGGTTACTGTCATGAGGGATATTAGTACAAGGAACCACAGAATCGTGCAGCTAGCTATTAACTTTTTTGCTAGGGCTGTTTTTAGTATAAAACTATGGGTATTGGCGAAACACATAAAGTATTCAGTTGCTGTTGTTGCATTGAAATCAAACAATTGACAATTATTGCCGAAGAAATCTTCAAAAAGTGCAACTACTTTTGTGATTGAATACTCGAAAAGCACCGACCCTCGGCGTATTGTGACGCGCACGCGTAAGTAAACGCATGCGCCGTACCACTAGTTGATGGGCTGGGTTTAGTTTAGATGTTACTCGTGGTCTCTCGCCAGCTTCGCGCAGAGTCTGACGGGGGCTAACTACACTACTAGATATCTAGCATGCGAGAGGCGATACACGCCCTGCGTTGCATCGTCAGGTGCCTCCAAGGTACGCAGAGCACGCGGATCGATCAGACCGTGGTGCTATATATCCATCCGTGTATTTGCTTTTTCGCGCTCTAGCTTTGCAACGGAGCGTTTTCAGAGAAAACCGCTCGGAATTTCTGTTGGCCGTTAAGTAAGTCGTATATATCGTTTGTGAGACGAAAGAACATTGGAGAAGTGAGATGTTGAAGACAGACGTATATAGACACACTACAGTACCCTGGCTGCGCATGCGCGCCGAGGGTTACCTTACTCTTCCTCTAGGAACAATACCAGATATGACTTTTAACCATGTTCTGACATGATGATGATTACATGAGGGCATATAATTATAATGAAGGTATAGCTACATATTGCTAGCTGAAGATATAGTTTGGTGGTATTTTGTCCGTGGATCACATGAGATTTCAACCTGTGCCATCTTATAGGGTGTAGAAATCTTAAATGTACAAGGGCAAAGCAATAGGAATTTATTACCACTGAGCCATACTATGTACCTACTTGGCAAGGGCTGTGAATGCTATGGAATGAACAAAGTAAGCCAGAAAGTTAATTGTAAATGGCATTGTTGTATTGTTCGCTAACAAGTGCATAAAAATTGCATGACTTCCCATTGTGATGAAACATGTCCTCGTAAGTTTAACAATAAAGCCTGCCCTAGCAGCCATAGCTACCGACATGAACCAAAAACCAAAAAAGACTGCTTTTGTCTTCTATTGTAATGGTAACAATGCAATTCTCAAAGGGATATGTAGCCCTGGCAGCTAACACTGACTGGATGAGACAAAACTCTATAAAAAGAGAGGGCTAAGTGTACGTAGCATTACCATATCATCCTACTACTCCAAATACGAGATAATGGCAAGCTCACTGCTTTCTTCGTCTGCCATTCTTTTTGTGGTGCTCGTGAATATTTGCCAGGCAGTATACGTCCCCGTTGGTTTTTCGTGCACAAAGGACAAAACTACTACGGACGTAATGGTTTACAGCACGCCGAAAGCAATGAGACTAAAGTTGATCTCATCCACATATTCTGTGGACAAGTATACAAAAATGGAGCTCACGGTTTCCATGCAAGACCTGGTAATAAGGACCCTGCATCAGCTGTAACAAAAGCGGATAATTTGGAAAAGGCGGCAGCTAGTGACAAGGACTTTGCCGTATACAAGAAGCCGCAGATTTATGACACAAGTGGAGCAGCGGATAAATTGGTGGAGAAACATGGAAAAAGCGGGATTTGGCCAACCTCATTGACCTTGGAAAAGACCACAGAATATATTAGTAGTTTGGAGAAGAAATGCAGGTAAATTAGTGTCTTATATACTGCATTTGACTGTATCCCATATTGAGCTATTAGAAGCTGTTTTCCTTGCTACATAAATTATAGCTACCTATTTTGCACTGCATGAAAGACAGACCACTATAATCCGACAAAGCCACCTAAATGGAGATTATTATTCCGGTGCCTTCTCATGTATTGACTTTTGATGTGTCTTACTTTCTGCAGTCCACCAGATGGAAAGAGTGCATGTGTGAAGAATGTGTCCGTTATAAAAAATGCAGCCCCGTATTTTGATGTGATGCTCATTATAAAGAAGCCTAAAGGTGGTGGTGACCGTTACATAAGGACTGCTTATCCAATGGACACAGACACATGCAAAAACAAAAGCGTTGATCAATATAAGATCTGCGACTTTAATGGCTGGTGAATTTTAACATTTCTACTGCCCAAAGTGAGACTTTCAACAATCAGGACATTGAACACTCTTAGTTATTATATATTATACTTAGGTAAAGTCATGGTCAATGGCTATTAGAGTATCACTATACTTATAATAATGTTATTATAATCTACGTAACCCAAATTGTCATGCTATTATTTGAGCGTAAGTATAGCTACAAAAACGGAAATCACTCTTTGTTGTAACGGTGTTTAGTGCCATATATATAATATATGATTATAATGCTAACTGCATTCCGATAATATACCCTTAGTATAGTGTAAGTAGGTACAAACAGGTATATAAGTGTTTCTCGGTCTGCTGCGTGAAAAAAAGTGCATATATGGTAAAGATGTATCATGGCTAGTGGCAAGTTGGTTGCACATCATGTCATAAAGGCACTTTTCATGTGGTACTAGCGAAAGTGCTTTGCTATCTGTGTAGCTACCATGCACATCACTAAAATATTTTTTGCTTGCAGACTAACGAACTTATATACACTCTACTGAAGTATAGAAAGCCAATAATGGCTAGCTTGTGGTGTATATATACCACAAAGATGATGTTTGTCGTGCAATTGCCCTTTTTCCCAGAATAATGTAGCTATATACTCACCTGCCATTCTTGAAAATGTTTTTGTGCAAAAATAACATTATTAGCATGCCCAACTAACTATATAGACAGTGCTACGTTATTATAGCTAACAAAAAGTTGCCAATGGCAGTAGATCGACCCAAAAATCATTTCAAGTGCATAGAGGAGTTCTTCTACTGCCTACCCGGTGTGCTAGTTCTTATATGATGAGTTAGTTGGATAATGACAGGGAACTTGTCTTATTTCCTCAATTCAACGCATCGGCAGTGCTCAAATGAGACACTTGTATACTTCCCGATTTCCTATGTCTGCCTGTATTCAGTGGCGCTGCTCCTATCGGCCGCAGCATTGAGCGCCGGACGTTTTGGCAAGAGAAACAGCTCGTTTCGGAAGAAAATTAATAGGACCGTGTACTACCTTCACCGACTCAAACAGACGGCGCGGAAAGTCCACTCTGGAAACTCCCTCCCCAGTCGACTCTTCGTATCCTTCGTTTTCCTCTGCAACGTAGCGTATATGATCATCGCTATAGTTCGCACGTACCGCAACAAGACGCGTTGCTTCCGTTCCATCGCCGATCACAAGGATTTGTTGGTGGAACTATGGGTCACTCTAGTTCTGTGTGTCTTCTTTATTGTACGGCTACTTGCGACCGACCACGTCGTTCGGTTCTGGACGAAGCTGCACACCATCGTTGACGTGGCGACCCTACCCAACGTTTTTCTGTTTCTGTATCTGGGGCAGGACTGGCCCGTAACGAAGACACTTCGCATTGTATGGCTCACTCAACTCGCTGACGTTCTCCGCTTTCTCCCTCTCTGCAAGTCCAAGGGCGCGAACGAATCGCTGCGAATACTTCTTCGTCTCCTGGCGCTGTGGCTCGGCGCCGCTGGGCTCATTCACTTGCTGGAGACGACCGGAGACCCTTGGAAAGACTACGCCAACAGACAGAACCACACATATCTCGAGTATATCTATTTCACTATCGTTACGCTCTCCACTGTCGGCTACGGAGACATCGCCGCCGTAACAGACGCGGGAAGAGCGTTCATGACGTTCTTTATAGTGGCCGGTATCGCCTACTTTGCGTTCTTTCTCCCCGGTCTAGTCAACACGGTTATGGATCACTACCAGCACACGCAGTGGAAAAGGTTTTACCTCACCAGAGTAACGCGACACGTACTTGTTTGCGGACCGCTCACTGCGGGCACCGTTTCCGACTTTCTAAAGCAGTTCCTTCTCCACCAGCGCCTCGAGAACCAAAAGACTCACGTGCTACTCATGCACACCGAGCCTCCGGATCAGAAGCTGCGTGCCGTGCTGCGATCACATTACTCGAGCGTCCAATACCTCCTAGGGTCCCCGTTGAACGCCGAGGACCTGGAACGCGCGAAACTAAGCGAGTGTCTGGAGGTGTTTATACTTGCTAGGAAACAGTGCGTCTCGCCGAAACGAGAAGATGAGGAGAACCTCCTGCGTCTATTGTCAATCAAGACTGCGGCCAGAAGAGTACCGGTAACTATTCAGCTGTTGTTATCCTCCAGCAAGGCGAAAGTGAAAGACATTCCGTACACGGAGAAAGATACAGTCGTCTGTTTCGCGGAGTTGAAGTTGGGGCTACTCGCGAGAAATTGCGTTTGTCCCGGGCTTTCGACGGTAGTATGCAACTTGTTTCACACTACGAAGGAAGCTTACGGTGACGAGCCATGGAGAAAACTTTATTGTCAGGGAGTGCTGCAAAAGATTTACTGCTCGCATTTCTCGACGGCATTCCACGGGTTGTCGTTCTACGCAGTGGCAGAGAAGTGCTACGAACGACTCGGTCTAATCCTTATCGCTGTGAAAGACAGGCAGCTTCAAAAGACGTACATCACTCCATCGTCCGCTCACCACGACCTGCTCGTCGTGCGCTCCCAGGATCACGTGATGTTGGGGTACTTCATCGGGAAGAGTCAGGCTGATGTGGACAGGGTGTCTGCATACATAGACAATAGCAGGGACGTAGGCGATCAAATTCTTCCGCTAGTGTCCTCGGTAGGGGTCCCTAGACCAACGAGGTTCCTACTGAGGCGAAAATCTTCCATCAAGGAAGATATCATGATGGTCCAAGAGAGAGTCGAGAGTGACAGAGACGATGTTCTGCACATACAGCCTCGGGAAATGGAGCAGTGCATAGCTGGTCCTCACCAAAACAACCACATTTTGGTCTGCGTTATTGCAGATGAGTCCTCTCCCCCACTCAACCTGAGCAACTTTCTCGAACCCATTCGTAGGAAGGCCCCCCAATTGCTCCCAGTCACAATTGCCGCACAAAAGTCGTACTTGGAGAAAGAGTGGAAGCATGTCTCACGCTTTCCTTCCGTTAGCGTTGTTATAGGTTGTCCTTTGGAGTGGGCCACACTGTCACGAGCATCAGTAGAGAGGTGTCACACGTGCGTCATCCTAACAGCTCTCAAGGGAGATACTTCCACAGAGAAGGTGAGCACCAATGATAATGGCGCCATTCTCTGCTCCCTTATGGTCAAAAACCGTCTTCTTTCACCGCCACCCATCGTAACGGTACTAGAGGACGATTTCAATGCAAAGTTTCTCGCTCTTGGGAACCAGGGCTGGGAGGAGATTTCACATGTTCATCTCACAAAACCCTTTGCTTGTGGCGAGCTCCTGGCACCGTCCTTCGTCGATTCCGTCACAGTGTCGAGTTTCTACAGCCCTGGGAGCATTTTTGTGGCAGACGAGATCATTAGCGGCCGAACAAGCGAACGCTGTCCTACGAAATCAAGGATACACAAAAAGCCGCTCTCTGAAATAGAAATAGTTCCCTCCCCCAACGGTGGTGTTCTGTTGTTCAGAGATGTCTACATGGTGCTCCTGAGGGAGAACAAGACTGCAGTGGCGGTATCTCGCCTGCTCCCACAAGAAGGAAACACTGCCTCGCAGCAGAGGTTCACTGTGAATGCTCCTTCTGCAGACACTGAACTCCTGCCAACTGATCATATCCTCTTTCTCTGTGACTCGGGAAAGTGATTGTTGGTGAAATAATAGCTGTTTTAATACTTCGTTTCCATATTACTAACTATAATTATAAGCACTGATAATGTCGCAGGTATTATTTGTTGGACAATTATTTTCTAGTTAAATTAATTATAGAAGAGTTAAAAAAGTAAGCCAACCTTTATATCTCTCTGTGAAGAGAATTTATGAAGCCATTTTGGCCGTATTTCCGCTTGTTGTACAAAAATTGACAGCGAGCGCTTGTAAAATTAATATTGTGGCTTGTCCAACATCAATAATAATGGTGTACCTTAGTCCGTACTCTAAGGCTCAGGTGAGTGATAATAGACATCAGCGCATGCAGAAAGTCCTTTGCTATCTAAACACAGTGCTGTTATTACATCATGTCATTTCCTTCTTTCCTCTGATCTGATGAGATAGCTAGGTGACTCACGCGGCGGGACCTATGAAACATATTTGTGAATGGTATTAAGCACTTTAGCTTCCATGATTACATACTATTGCCACATAAAGCTCTCCACGATAATAATACACTGTAATGTGTTCTCTATTGTAGCTAATACCACTTTCCGCTTGTTCTATTTAGCAAAACACTCATTAATATCTAAAGTTCAACTGGCAGTTAATTAACGTAAAGTGATTTGTGAAACTGAAATGAAGGTTATAAGTGCATGCTAGTAGTCAGTTAACAACAGGAAGCTTTTTACTACTTGCATCACACAACACAATTCTTACCCCAATCATAGGTGTTGGCTTCGGTATATTATTATACGGACAAGCAGTGGGCCGCGATGTGTTCTAAAAGATACGAAACAATCTGATAATGTACATATTATTTTACTAAACGTAACTAACAACAGTACCGGTATACGTACTGTGGGCATGGTATTCCTTCGCGTAAGATGTGACCCCTGAAAGAAGTCTGTTATGGCACATGTACAATTCAGTAAGGTTTATGAACAAACCTCTTTATTTTCTTTCTGCGGGGGCTCCACTGTAGCTTTCCGAGGCAAGGTTTGACATTTGATGGGTCCTCTAGCTACGTGTTGTGTCTTTGTCTACACCGAAAAAAGGTAATTATTGATATTAATAATTATGCAGTTACTTACAGTTTCTGTTGCTGAAAGAAGCAAAGCTTGGTATTTTGGTAAATGTGATGGTTGTTTCTGGAGGGAAGACAAAAAAATGACACAAAGATGTGGTTAAAACGTTACAAAAAAGGCAGAGCCTCACCCGAAATGTTACGTGCTTCCCTTCAACCATTTCGCGACTGGTAGAAGATGATTTCACTGCAGACTGAGGGGAAAGGGGTGTGGTTGAGACGGAGAATTGTATCACCATAGGTTTTGGCCAACTACTGCGGTATACCTGCTCAGATGAATTTGTAATTTGAAGTGGTGTATTCTGAGACTTATGCTGTCCCTCAGCAATGTTTGATGATAATGTAGACTGTAGCAAGAGTAAAACATTAATTATTATAGGAGACAATCATTTTTATCAACTGGACAGGAGCCAGGAATCAGTGTTCTGAGGATGAAGCGATAAAAATTCGAAGGTGTTGTGACATGAACTGCCCATTAGGATCAAATTTGGTTTGTACATATATACAATCCACACCCTGACAATCTGATAGGTGTTCTGGTACATTCTAGGGAGAGCACAGTCCTGTCAAAGAGGCAAACCTGCTGAGCTCCTTCAGGAAACTGTGCAACTTGAAGTAGTATGCCATTCTGAGACTCTTCACTAATGGAGGGTGCTGTAGACTGCAATAACAAAGAAAAATAACATGCTACTAGATTCACAGACAGGATTGTTAGGTCCCATGTAACTGAAGGGGATATGGCACGAAATTATGTGCAAAGAGTGACCCCCTATAATATAGTATGCAAACAGGTAATTATAATGGTCCACGTAAGAGGATAATAATGAGGTACGTGTCAGCTACTATGGGAGTGTGACACCTTTTCAGGAAGTTCTGAGGAAGGTGAAGTGTTGTCTTGAAGCAAAAGGTGGGATTTGACAGGCCCTGCATCAGTCACAGACATTGACAATGGTGTAGCCTGTACGGTGGAAAGGTTTAGACAACCTGATTGAAGGTGTATCATTGTATCACTCGTACTAGAAAAATAGCTGCTTTATTTTTAAATTGCTGGATATGTAGAATCTGTTGATGTCCCTTCCTCTTGCTACAGTCATTTGATGCACAGCCTAAGTCTCAGAGTGCGCCAATTCAAGTTACACACTTCTTAGAACGTGGACCACCACCATGCAGCAACTACTGGTAAGCAAGGTATTGTAATTGAAGGGCCGAGAACCAGAGTGGTGTATCCCAAGATTAAGTATGGCTAATTGCCTAAAGAGTGCAAAATGGGGGGAAATAAGGGTAGGGATACTAAAAAAAGTGGGATTTTGCAAAACGCATTTTAATGGTAATTTCATGTCAAAGGGGTTTAAATGGCCCCTTTTGGGCTACACCATTCTGGTTCTCATCCCTTCAATTGTTCCCCTATGCATCAATAGAGTATATACACACCTTCCCAGTGGCTGGAGGCACGAAGCTTCGAGTGAAGGATAGTTGTGCAGTAGCCTGAGACAATGATTGTACTTATGTTCAGGAACATAAACATTTCAGGGTTAACTGACCGAAGCCAAAGGGGCTTTTACAGGTGTGACATTGCTGTATGGAGCAGCTGGTGTTGTCTGTCGGTTGGATTTGACAATATATATAGTTTCTTGAAATCATGAGAAATATACAAACCTCATTTGGTTGTTTGCAAGTAGGGCCAGTAGTGGCTGAAGTGTGATGCTTTAGTTGTTTTTCAGTTTTCTAATTGGGCAGAGAGATATGATAATGCAATAAGGAATACGTTTTGAGAGAAAACTGCAAAATAATGTTAGACTATTTGCTTTTTGGACTTTTCTTCCCTCAAATAATTGTGAGAAGATGACAAGTCTTTCTCAGGTGTTGAACAACTTGCTATTTCTGTGGTCAAGATAGACCTGAGTAGAACATTACCACGAACCTCTTCTTTCTTCTGAGAAGGTCCAACAACAGTTGCGGCTCCTTCTAGAAAACTCTTCGACTTGCATGATGCCTGTAGAGGCGTAGACTGTTGAAAACAGGGATACGTGGCAACATCAATGAAGCCTCAAGCCAAGAGAAAAGGAAACAAGTCAACTAGAGCTGCCCTAGGTGGGATTTAAACCCACGACATTCTGCAGTCTAGGCAGAGTTCTCGTACCCACAGAGCTACAACAGCAGCTCAGCAGGCAGGGGCCAAATAATTATTTACAATACAATACAATACAAGGCAGAGACAAACGGTGCTACGGCACAGTAAACTCTCACTGACTGGCAGGCGAAGTATGACAAACCTGTGTTCCTTGTGTTGCTGCAGCTGCTGCTGTCTTGCGTTGTAATTCTTTCACTAAAGACGGAGGGACGACCTGAAGGAAGATTACTACAGTACTTTCTGTAGAGTGCAGAACGAATCTTGATTTTCGATGATAAATGAACTGTCTCAGATACAGGGACCTCACTTTATTTAACTGGAGACTATAGTTAGAGCAAGAGTATCTACAATGTATGTGTGTGTGTGTATTACATAGCCTGACTATGCCACAACAAAGTGCAGCTGGAACTTTTCCCCAGCAACTACTTGCACCTGGGCACTACAAAAGCTGGACTCTGGAATATGGACTGGTTTATACATGAAGAGTTTTTCCGTACAAAACGTCTGCCTTCAAGTTGGGCATTTTAGTCAGGATGGCTATGAGCAGTTATCATCTGTATTGCTTGGAGGAGTCCTACCTAGCTTCATTCCAAGAACTGAATATAGTGCTTTTTGGATAGTTTGAAACTGACATTAAGTGTCATAGTAAGTGCTTGAGACTGCCCTGAGATGGCTGCAGGGTCCTCATCTATCCCAAATTTTTTAACTGCATCAGGCGTAGTCAGTGTAAGAACATGGTAACATGGTTCAGGTAGACTGGCGTAGCTACATAGCCAGCGCCTTTTCTCTGACGAACAGCCAAGGACTGGAGGCAATCCTGATCGGATTGGGATCCCAACAGTGTCCCACTACCATGTTGAACCTAGCTACTTCTATGCTACAAACACTTCAGTACAAAGCCAGCCCATGATCCAGTCCATGGTACACCAGTCCAGAGTCCACAGTCAAGCGTTTGTAGTGTCCCAATATTAAACCCTGTTTTAAGACTTGTGTTGGCAGTAAGTCATTGGAAAAAAGAGCTGTCCGACAACGAATAACATGCCTACAGTAGCAGATAACAGCTTTGCATGAAATTGTTCCAACTATAATGATCCCAGCCGTGTAGCTAGCTATTAATAAACAGCATGAGCTGTTTATACGATTGGATTAAAGTATTTTCACCTCTTTGGCTTGTTCCAGAGGATGTGCAGTACCAGTAGTGTTTGTGGCCCCATCTAATCTTTGTGACCTGAGAGGTTGTTCACATACAGATGAAGGTGTGGCCTGTGGGCAGAATAACAGTCATAAAGGAATTAAAAAAGGCAAAAGATCAAAGATAGAGCATATGGCACATTTCAAGAATGTTATTGGGTTTTGTAAAATTATATTCCCTTTAAGAACAGCTACGAGGACCACTGACAAGAAACAGTGGTAGACAAAATACCTAAGACAATATAATACATGTAACAAAGTTTGATACTATGAACCACCATTACTTCTTTCATAGGAGAGCTAGTAGCAACAGTTGTAGCTGTAAATAGCACACTTTGTGACTTCAGTGAAACAGATAGTGGTGTAGCCTGCAGTGAGAATAAAACCTTAAAGGTGCTTTTGAGTTGTTATATAGATTAAGCGGAAATGAGAAAACTGTTTTGTGATGCTGCTACAGTCTGTTTGAGCCCAATACCTCTGTTTCTTTTCCCACAGGAGATGCAGTAAAAATCAAATTTTCATTTAGCAATGTTTGGGCCTCAAATGCTCCGTTAGGTGCAGATTGGGACACGATCTGTGAAGAGATAAACGAGGGGGACAGTCAGTGTAGCTACAAGTGCATCTCAGAGAGCCCTACTTGCTTCACAGGGATCTTTCTGGAGGTAGAACACATCCTTTCAATTTGAGCTGTGCTGTACTTTCCTGCAGGGACAATGTCGGCAGATAATAATCAGACTACACACTATTATAGCACAACTAACATAAGTTGGTGGAGGTGGTGGAAACCTGCGCTGAACATGCGGTGCTGTAGTCTAAATGAGTGGAGGTATAATTATAAATAAAGACATTATCAGACAGTGTGAACCTCTTTCTTGTGTTTCATGGTAGTTCCAAGTACAGCCGTGTCTTTGAGAGGCATAGCTCGGGCTTTGGAAGGTGATGATATTCTCGCTTTCTAAAGAAAAACATGATACAAAATTCCCTTTCACCTGCAGCAAGACAGGATTTCTGAAGCCATTCTGCAAGGAAGTTGTGGAGTGCACAGAGCAGCTTAGAACTTTTATAGGTGCATTTGAATTGACCAATCAGTATGAGGTTCCTGATTTCTCATTATGAAACCTCGCAGCTCATTATAAACTTTGCTTTTTATTATGATAACATGGTATGAAACTTGTTTTTTTTCTTCTGTTGAATACCTCTTCTCGTTGGCCCAAATGTCTTTCTGCAGCCATAGATTTGTGAGGTCTCTCTGTTCCAACTGCAGAAAGGGATGCGGCTTGTTGCACTGCTGGAGTTTTTCCTTTACTGCTGCGTCCTGTGATTGGGGTTTTTGAGGTGTCCTGGAGTGGGAGAATGGCGGAGAGAAACTGGAAGCTCCAGGAGGAGAGAAAGAAATACAGCTGGCTATTAGAACAGATTACTGGCCACGTGCAATTATCTGTGCTAAGTATAGGCTTATGTTACGTGTAAGTTTGTCAACTTCAGTTCAGTTCCATTGCAGAGTGCATTATTTTTGAGGAAAAAGGTTTACAGGCTACTTCATAGCACTGGGATGAGCTCTATAAAGTGGGTGTAGAAGTGTGATATACGAGATGAAACTATAGATGAGTGAGGCCTCAAAATTAGTGTGCAGCTCACTATACTTAACACAAATGTAACGTATGTGTCTTGTTATTAAAAAGCACGGACCTTTTCCGCTTGCTTTACAGGTTCAGGAGCAGCTGCTGTTAGAGTCGGTGCCCCTCTAGCTTTTCCAAGCTCCATATAGATTGGCGACGAAGTTCTCTGAAGAGTGAAAGGAGTTAACTATGAAGAGACTGAGAGTTTCCTAGTAATAGTATTAACCCGGAGTTTGACAGACACGTCTCCCACCAGAATAAGTCTTGTTGAAGAAACTTGTCCTCCTTTCTACACATAGTGACATTCCCCGTACAAGTCTTTCTGAAAAAACTCTGAGAACTGGACTAACCTCGCCTCCAATAGCTGCAGAAGCTGTAGGTAACCCTGTGACCTAAGTAAAATGAAAAAGCGATAAAGTGCCTCCAAGGTACGCAGAGCAAGCGGCCGTTCTGGTCGAGGTAAGCCTGTACTAATTCGTACACTCCAGTTGATCTTGCTATTTTAGCTTGTCACTTGGTTTTCACGCTGTAAACCTCTCGAACGCAGCAGTTTCAGAGAAAGTCCTACATATTTTTTACCAAGACCCGACGCCAAATATGTGGTATTGTTTGTAGAGCGATTGATGGCTCGTGAAGTTATGTCAGGTAACAGACCGACAGACACACACGACAACTACTGTAACCCTCTCGCTGCGCATGCGCGCCAAGGGTTAATAAAATAGCAACCTATCCTATAGAGGCTATTCTAAGTCAAAGCTAATCGTGAAGGTTGTTGTAGTATAATTATACGACACTGCACTTTTGTCTTACTATGACACAGTTCACTTAATAGCTTCGAAATTGCTGTAATTATGTGGTACACCTGAGATTAAAGAGGAGGTTTTAATTAATTTTAAGAGAGAAAACAGCATGCAAACCTTTTTTGCTTGCTCTTGGTCAGTTGCTCCTGCATCTTGAAGTGGTAGCTCGTGGTATGTAAACCCTCCATTAGCTGTAGTTACGGGTGTTTTTACCTGCATCGTGCGACTAGGTGTGGAACCCTCTTTGAGTAACGATTGCTTCGGTTCCTATGGTTACAGGGGGGAAATAATTTCTCTGATTTATTAAAGATGATTTGAAAAGCCATTATCTGGACTTGTGAGCTATAGGTGCTTCTCGTAAAATTGTTGCTTATATGTGAATTCATGATTACGTGTCATCATGTTCTTCAATATTCTCTACTCAAACCAGTTTGGGTGAGCTTGTTCACTTATGCAACCAGTTGTTAAGCTCTGTGTATATATATAAGAATCCAAGTTGCATCAGCACAGCACTGGGTTTATTGATTAGCACTAGGTAAGTGGTTTTAGAGGAAACAGGTTTTCATATAATTATACTCAACAACCGAGTATAATATTGCTTGCTGTATATGAGATGCGAGTTAAGCAGAAGACAGACATGCTCAGTAACACTCCCTGTAGTGTATATGCATGCCAAAGAGTATTAACATTATCTTAAACCTTGCTTCCCTGTTCCGAAACAGGTCGTGGGGCAGCTTCATCTTCATCAAGTAACACGACCCCTTGAGATTTCGCACGTCTCTCAGCTCGTGAACAGGAAAGTCTCTGTATGGAGATTTTAGCAGTACAAGATATGAGTTACGCAATGCAGTGTACACTTACCTAGCTATATATCTGCACTACCGTCACACATAGTGAAAGAACATGGTGATTTATTGCATAGGGAACGGAGTAATATATACATTGTAGAAAGTAAACCCTTTGGACGCCATGTGGATCTGCTTAAATAAGCAGAAATTGATGTATTATAAAGTACTAGCGACTAGTATTATAACCCCATAAAAAAATGGTTAAGTGTTAACTGTGGAGCACAACAGCAATGAAAATAGAGGTTAGTTTTGAGCAGTCCTATATAGGAAATGCACAGGACTGTGGAACCTATACCTCTACAAGGAAGTGCAGGAACCTCTGTGACTTGTTGAGGTGAAAGAGGAAAGTCATCATCACTCTCAGAGGAAGTTGCGTTATAGACAGAGAGATTAAGTGAATAGCACTCGAAGGTTTAATTCAGTGCTACTTTCAGAGTGTTGGTTGCATTAGCTGGAGCATGCCAAAGCCGTTATTAGTATCAGGGTGTTAGCTAGTCATAAACCACTAAAGTGCAAACCCTCAATGCAAAATTAAGAGTTAGGTCAAGGGGTTCACTACAGGCACGCTTGAGCAGCCAGTAGTGCAAGGATAATATAGTGGCAAAAGACAAAATTAAGCACTATAGAAAAACAAGTACTTTAACTGTCACTGTGCATGAGACAATAAACAAGTGTCACAATTAAACTTTCAAACCTTGACACTCAATTCTCCTCAGTGTTTTTTCACTTGTATATGGGATCATTTGCCTAGCTATATGCCAGCAAAATTTGACCTCAGTAGCTCTATAGTCCAGTACCGTCATTATGACATCCATAATACTTCAGGGCTGTGGCTTGACTAATGCTACAAGTTTAATTAGCATGGAATGGGAGGAATTTTATACCAGCTGTTGAGACATGCACTGTACTCCCCAGATACTTCCATGTGCATCTGTCATCTGTGACCAGGCAATTAGGTAGCTACCACACCCTGGAGAGCAGTGAAACACACCTCTAGTGAGGGAGCACAAGTGGGTAATATACACCTACTCTCAAATTGTTTGTGTAATACCTACACACCAACTCTGACATTGTTTGTGCGCATGCAGTTTCAAGTCAGTAATATGCATAATTATTGTAAGTCCTCATTGTAAAAAGCATACCCTTTGAGGCTGCTGGAGCAACGATTCAACTTGCACTTCCAAGTAATTAACCTGTGCCACACGGTACTCAAGCTGCTCTTTTTGAATTTCATTCTGCTGGATTCTCAGTGCGATATGCTCGTCTTTGGCTAGCAGCTCCTCTGTTTTTGATTGCAAGGCTTGTAGCAGTACCAGTTTGTGTCCATCGATAAAGTCCGCGTTTGCTTCATCTCTGGCCTGTGTGAGCCACCCTAATATCTGGTCAATTTTGGGTCGCTCCTCAATACTGTCCTTCAGACAACCCTCGATCATTTTTATAAGGGGATGCCCCTTTTGAAATTGCTTCCACACCTCCTGCATGTATTGGCTGCGTCGCTCTAACTCAGTCCGGCCAACAACTTTACCACTTTTACTGTCCACGTACGTAGCTGACAGTGGATCAGGGAACATTTGTGATAGTGTGAAAAGAGCCAGAACACCGAGAGAGAATATGTCAATTGTGATGTCATACAGTGACTTATCTTGCACTGCCTCCGGAGGCATGTATATTGGAGCACCTGGAGTTTTTGTCATAACTGCAGCCTGTAAGCTGGGCACAATGCGAGCCATGCCCAGGTCCGCTATCTTGGCCACCATCCCCTCTGTCAAGAGAACGTTTTTAGCCGACAAATCTCGGTGGATTATAGGCGGCGTTTGGCTGTGCATGAACGAGACACCACTGGCAACATTGTGAAGGATCGAGCACTTCAGCCCGACAGGAATATAGGGCTTACTGGTCGGTTTCGGCTCGGGATCCAGAATATCGTGAAGACTCGTAACCAGCTTCTCCATGACTAGCGCCGGTATCCTGGACCCGGGAAGGTCGCATACGCCAAGAAACTGGACGATGTGCGGGTGGCGTAGAGTACTCATGCGCTTGCATTCGTTCACAAATTCTCTCATCGCTTTATGGATACCTTCAGGGGGTGTCTGTCCTGGATCTAGGAAAAAGTCGTGTACTTTCTTGGCAGCGCAGAGGGCTCCGGGTATGGCGACTTCAACCACATTGCCGTATGCGCCAGCCCCGATCGTCCGACCAGTTCGGCGGACGTTGGGCAAGCGGTAAGGTTCTAACTCTGACAGGCTGGCCGAGACAGCGGCGGAAGCGGCCATTTTCAGTAGTAGTCAATGTCCGCTGTGTCGCTGTCACATGATCAATCAGGGACTTGCAAAACCTGGTGGATCAAAATGCATCGTGCAAGGGAGGATATTTGTTAGCTACTGGGTCAACTATGAGGCAGAGTTTAGCGATGTTTTGATAGGTATAATCTTCGCTGAAGATACTAGCTAGGTCGTCTTTCGAATTATGCGCGCATTAGCGTCCCGCTCTTGTGCTTTAGAGTCTCTTAATGGGCGATATCTGAGTGCCAACCTGAATGTGTGGCGCGTTTTGCGCTAGCTTTATGGGGCGCCGTCTGTCTCAAAATTTTGCAAATAGCTGTTTTTTGTTATCCTGCGCTTCATTTGTAAAATCCGCGCCGGTTATACAAATCCCTTCTGGATAATACATACCCCGGACTGGATATAGCATATCCCGCACTGGATATATAAATCCTGCACTGGATATAGCATATCCCGCTCCGGATATATAAATCCTGCACTGGATATAAATCCCGCACTGGATATATATCCAGTGCACGATTTATATATCCGTAGCGGGATATGCTATATCCAGTGCAGGATTTATATATCCAGTGCGGGATATGCTATATCCAGTCCGGCGTATGTATAATCCGGAAGGGATTTGTATAACCGGCATGGATTTTACAAATGACGCGCGGGATAACAAAAACAGCTATTTGCAAAATATTGAGACAGACGGCGCCCCATACTAGCTGAGCATGCGCAGTCGCGACCTACGTAGAGTATAGCATAGGAGAGCTATGGGGGAATATCCGTTACAAACTTGTTCATCTTCTACTATCTAGCTAGCTACTACAGTTCAGATTTTCGTATTAGAACGACAGTCCCGGGAAAGTGCAGCGTGAAAAGTTTTCCTTGGCGCGGCTGCAGCTGCCCCTCTTCAAAGGGTACGCTGTCAGAGCGACTCTCCCCACGCCGTTGACTGGTATGATGATGATCCTCACATCGAACACCGGAGAAATAGGGTCTCCAGGAAGCACGGAGAAATCCGAGACACAGAGATGGTGATCAGGTGGCGGCCTGCGGATAGAATTGTACGTTTTATAATTTTCTACAGAGGGAAGGTGTCTTTTTTGTTAGTATATAGCATGGCTGAAATGCTCGTGAATTCTAGCTAGTGAATATAATTTCGATAATTATTGTGACGTACGTACGTGCGTTTATGGCTGAAAACTGAGTGGCGCGCCTGTCGCTGGCGCGGAAGCAGCTACCGAGGCAGCTACGTAGCTATACAATGGTGTATTTTCGCCCCTGTGCATGTATGTTGCATAGCTACCTAGTCGAATTTTCGCGCGAAACAGCGCATAATTGTCTACATCTTCCAAAGCGATTAGTTAGCTAAAAATTCGCCAGTGTTAGCGTGTTGGTATGAACAGCTCCATGTAAGAAATTCGGCTTGCTCAGTTCAGTCTGTTCGCTACCCGCCCTTGAAATTCAGCGATGCACGTTAGCTGTAATACTTACCGACACTTATCAACTAGATATGTTGTGATTTGCGTAATCCCTTCCATGGTGAGAACAGTGGGCCACACACTGCTGCTTGCAGGCTTGATGACGTACGCCCCTTCGCGGCTGTCGTAAATGCTCGGTTTCTTGTACACCGAGTAATCATACTCGTTAGCCGGTTTCCGAGAGAGAATGTCGTCCGACGTCACTACTGACTCGGGGTCCTTGTCTCCCGGTCGTGCGTGGAACCCTCCAACTCCGTATTCGTCACTGACTTGCCCGCAAAACACGTGGATGAGGTCGACCTTGACGGAATTGATATTGGGCGGGGTGCTGTAGACGCCCGAGCGTCGGGGCATGTCTGGCGTGCAGGAGAATCCCTCGGGAATTAGCTCAGCTGCACTAGTGCAGATGATCGCTGCAGTCAGCGATAAGGCCAAAATATGCTTGGTTGCCGATCCTCGTTTCATGCTTATTCCTCGCACTGAGCTGAAGCAGGACCGACAGTAACTATTGCAAAGCGGTTGTTCAAAGCTTTTATGTTAAAACGAGAGCTAATTACATAATTATTGGCTGTCACCCAAGAAAACACTCTCATCCATTTACTGAGTCATATATACCATGTTTGAAATGGTGTGACAAACTCTGCAAAACGTGTGTGACAAAATGCTAGCTATGTCTGCTTTGTGTGACCATAAATGAGAGGTTCACAATATTATTTTGCCATTCATTTGCTCGAGTTGTTAGCTACATAAATCTGCTAAAATTTCAATTGATAAATGACATGAAGTGTAATTTATGAAGAAATGGAGCTTTTACTAAAACACTGTTGCCCTGTATATACCATACTGAGGAATGTGATGTGTTTCAGGAAAGAAGCGAGAAGGTAGGTTGGTTGCACTGCACTAGAAATTCAGAAATATGTCCGCTTTTTCTCTGTATTCTGCAGTGAGGGTGTCGTAGACATAATATGTGTAGGGACTTCTACTGTAAGTGTAGTACAATCAGGAGGAGTAGCTATATAGGTGTGTGAAGTGCAAGTTTATGTAATTAGCTAAGTCTTGTGACATAATATTATTATGTCAACTTTTAAGTCATGTAAAGTGGTTGTTCAAAGCTTTTTTGCTAAAATGACACCAATTACTATATTGGCAACTATACCCAAGAGAACCTTTTTCACAACCCGTTTTATACATTGCAGACATGCCAAAAATTATTACTCAGATATAATAATTGTACTTGGGACATTGACCACTTTCTTTTGTGACCATTTTAGGTGAGCAATGATGAAACCGAGTTTAGAATTTAGTTAGCTATCTATCTGTCCCAGATATCAGTACACACTATACATTCTAAACTTGCCCGTTTGCAGGTAATAATAATTAGAAAATAGTTGTCCAGCAGCTATTGGCCTTTTCATGTGTCTATAGACATTAATAGAGGTAGCTATGGCATGGGCTAAGAACCAGAGTACCAAAAACATTGATTAAACCTCCATTGAGATGGCAACGGAATATTACAGCGTCAGTAGGCGCTCTATCAGAGCGTCCGTTACAGCGTCGGTGGCGCTCTATCAGAGCGACGGTAGACGCTAGAGTCGGTAAACTCTCTATATAGGGATGATACGGATGAAATCTCACATGATCCGCGTACAAAACGACTAAAAACTCGGTGAGAATCACTCCCTAGGCCTTCAACACATACTAGCAATAGTCTACGGGCCCATATCTACCTATACATGACCTCATACGCGCCTTCAGTCGTCCACACGAGAATTCGCTCATACGCGATTTCACGATTTTCGTGTCATCATCATAATTATTCTTCATCTTCTTTTTCTTCTTCTTCTTCATTTTCTGAGACGCGCTAGCTCCTTACCGGAAGCAGTTGAAGCGTTGATTTTTTCACAGAACGTCTCCAAATTTTACCCCTTATAAATTCTTATGGACTTATGGAGGCTCTGGTCATATGCTTGTGGCTGGCTAAGGGTTGAGATGTTGCATTGGACGAATAGCTGAAATTCCTCTCCAGTGCAAACATTTCCTGAGACACATCACATTTTCCTAAGTACAATACAAGGCACCTGCACCTTCCCTGGACAAGTGCAGTTGGATTTGGTGCAGGAAAGTTTACTGAAAAAATTGTGCCTTGTATCTACGGTAGTGCAGGAAATGTTCTAGTGTTATTATGGCTTTGTATCCTCAATCTTCAATATAGTGCATTTTGTGGCAATGACTTGCAGAGAGGGAGGCTCTACTTTGAGGGAAACTTGCTCTTCACTCACTGTGGTGAAATCGAGTGCCCTGACCTCATCACTGGCACAGAACACAATGACTAGACAGAATTACCATTAAAATTATAGGCAACGTACAATTTGCACCTCTACATAATAATCCTATTGTCGCATCTTTTGTGTGAAACATTGTAAATGGTAGATTTCAACCACCCCCCCATTATGTTAGTCTCAATTAGGGCCTAAGTAGATGCTCCGTGTAGTTATGACACAGGTCACTCACTTCACGTGCTCTGCGTATGGTGTGACACTAAGCTGGGTGAAGAGTTCCATTATTCCCTGACGCTGTCGGGGCAGTGGGTCATTTGGACAACACATCCATGAAATCTACTCAGGCATAAGGTACATGTTGATATTATGAGTCACCTAAATGTTTATTGAGTGATTCTATATAGGAGGAATATGGCAGACATTTCAAATTTGCAATGAAAATCATGAGTGTCTAGTTAGTTTTAAAAATTGATTATATTGCGGGTGCCTATTTATACGTCTCCCCTATGGACACGTTAATAACATAGGGGGACTGGGTAAGAGTATAAAACTAACAACAAATTTCACAGCAAAATGCCTCAGGAATATCGTCGTGGTTAACATTAGCACACTTCAAAAATCAGTCTAACGACAACTATGAGCGCCGTCAGTGTACCCGTGAAACCGCTCTTACATTGTCAGTTGTATGCACGAAATATCGCTTCGATACTTGAAGGTGACTCGTAATACCCGCTGACTCGCAATAGGAACATATACCTTACAAATACCCCTCCCGTGGAG